TATTTATTTATTTTAAGAGAGGGAGAGAGAGCACAAGCAGGGGAAAGGCAGAGAGATAGGAAGAGAATCCCATGCAGGCTCTGCACTGTCAGTGCAATGCCAAGCGCCAGGCTCAAACTCATGAACTATGAGATCATGACCTGAGCTGAAATCAAGAGCCAGATGCCTAACAGACTGAGCCACCCAGGCACCCCAGGGAATACTTTTTTAAGGTCAGTGGATAGCTGTCTGGAAGTAGTTTTGAAAACAAGAGCGCTGTTATGGGAGAAAGAAGCTCTTCGTTCCTCTGGTGGCTCCATGTAAAGAAATTATAAATGTTTTTTTTTTTTTTAATAATTTTTTTAACGTTTATTTATTATGGAGAGACAGAGAGACACAGAGCGTGAGCAGGGAGGGGTAGAGAGAGGGGGAGATACAGAATACGAAGCAGGCTCCAGGCTCTGAGCTGTCAGTAGAGAGCCTGCCGCGGGGCTTGAAGTCACAAACTGCGAGAGCATGACCTGAGCCAAAGTCAGTCGCTTAACCACCTGAGCCACCCAGGCGTCCCTCCATGTAAAGAAATTATACCACAAGCCATCCCATTGCCAAATCAGAAACTGTGAGGTTGTGACAGGGCTCAGCTTACAGACGACTATTTCCAGGAAGCCTTCCCTAGCCCCAGGCTGAGTTAGTGCCACCACAATACTTGCAAAAACAGAATCACATTGTTTTTTCATTACTTGTTGACTGTAGGTTTTTTGAGCCCCTGGACTATAATCTTCCATCTTCTGATTTACACAGAATAGTACAGTGCCTGAGAGACCTGTAGGTGCTCAGTGCGTATTTGAATGAATAAATAACTGAATGAATATGGGATGATATGACATACTATGACATGAATATAGTTAGTGCAAATTAGAATAAGTTCAAGATCCAGGTACTTCCCCAAGGAGCAGCAGCCTGGAGAGAGTTCAGATCTAATCCCAGTTACTAGAAATTCATTCATTGGGAGATCACAGTTAAGTGGCAAGAAATCTAGTCTCTAGAGGGAAACATTTGCTGGCAAAATAATACAGAGAGGAAAAGCACATACTTTCTTCTCAGAGAAACTTCTTTCTGTTGGTGAGGGGTGGAGGCACTGGGGTATGGAAGAGAAAACCAGGTAAGAGGGCAGAATTATGCAAATAAATATATTAAGAAGTAGAGATTCATAAGCTAGTTTTAGAGTAAATCTAGAATAGTTTTTAAAGTAATAAATTTTATAGATATTTAAAAATTTTTTAAATCACAATTTCATGTAAATATTTTTAAACTAATTTTTCTTTACACTACCTTCACATGCAGAAGTTGGTTGTCAACTGCTATGAGCTGATTAAGATTCTCCAGTATTTCTAAGTCTCTTATGTCATCAATATTATTATTGCTGATATTCAGTATAGAGAGGGATTTCTGTAAGAAAAATAAATTAGCATTAGTAAACAGTCTAATTAAATACTATATATAGGAACCAGAAATCTTAATCTGTGAAAAATTTAAGATTTATCAGTTCAGGCTGTTTTGCTCTTTAGGTAAGAAAATTAAAATCCATGGAGATTTTGTTTCTATGCCATATGTTTTTTCAGACATAACTTTGGGACTTCAGTAATTGTGATATGACTTACTATTTTTGTCTACAGTTCCTTCATAAGTCTGATTTTCCCTATCCAGAATATAAAAGAGATTTATAGAAAAAAGAAGTCAGGAATCAATAAAGAAAAAAGATGCCCAGCAAACGAATGTTAACACAGTGAAGAAAAATGCTTATTTCAGTTTAAGCAAATTATCATTTTCTATTAAATATCACTAAGATTTGTACTTACATAGGAAGAAACAGTTTTTGTCTGTTTTTTAAAATAGGAAACATAGGTAAGAATAAAAGAATATCTGGTTTTTATTTTTATCTCTCTCTCTATAGTTTCCTCTTGATAATCCACATGTTCAGAGGTACTTAAAATAATAATTAGCTAATTAACAAAAGGGATCAACATTGGCTGTTAGTGAGGACATAAATATACAATAGAGCAGCATTAAACCAAAGCCATCTTAAAATCTATGATGGTCCAGTAATCTCTACCAAGATTGAGTCTACCCATCAAGGCATCTATATAGCCAACTTTTAGATTATATACTTCTTGATACTTTTTAAGACTTTAAATACAGCTTAAAAGGATTATGCCTTATATTTAGAATTTTGGAATCTGCTTGAATCTTTGCAAAACTTGAGCAAACAAAAATGTTTTTAGTGGCATTTCATAATAAATGGCATTTCATAAAAAAGCCACCTCTGGCTTCTCAACTAATTGTGACACCTCCGCAATGTATCTGGGTGTCAGGTCACAGCTGGAGCATCAAATCTGGTACTCCCAGATCTACCTGCTTCTGATAAGGCAGAGCCACATGTAAGGCAGCCTACAATGAAATCAGAATCCAGCGAGAAGACAATTTATCATCATCATTATTCTCTAGGTTGTTTAAAATTTGCCAAATAATTGTCCATTACTCTTTCCTTAAGCTTTTTCCTAAAATTTTGAATCATGATAATCACCAAGGTTGAAATTATGAATGAATTGACATCTGGATTAGAACTTGATAATTTACATAACTTTTTTACATCCTTCTTTTGATACTTTTAGTACCCTAGAGGCAGGTATTATTATCCCAACTTTATAGCTGCTGAGTCTCTGAGAAATTATGTGAGAAAAGTTAGTTTTAGCCCTCAAATAAATTAACTGGCCATATAAACATACACAGTATGTATAATGTCCAAATATACCTTCCTGTTCCATTATAACTGTTAATTACTATATTCTTTGTCAGAATATTCAAATGTGGCCTTACTCCCAGAGAATGAAGAGTTCTTGGATCAAAGAGAAGCTTTTCTCCAAGGGGAAGCCTCTGACTCTCAACATGAAGCTCTCTTAGTCCTTCTAATCCTTCTAAACCTTCTATGACAGCAATATAATTGCTTCCCAGATACCTGCAAAATATAAAACAGCTTTATTTTTATTTTTTTTTATTTGAGAGAGAGAGAGAGAGCGCGCGCATGTGAGCAGGGGAGAGTGCAGAGGGAGAGAGAGAGAATCTCAAGCAGGCTACATGCTCAACGAGGGGCCTGATGTGGGGCCCAATGCAAGGCTTGATCCCATGACACTGGGACCGTGACCTGAGCCAAAATCAAGAGTCAGATGCTCAACTGCTCAACTGACTGAGCCACCAAGGCATCCCAATATAAAACAATTTTAAATAGACATTCTGAGAACATCATGATCTGTAAACATAATGAAAATATAGTAACAATCACTGAGCTGTGTGAAAATTATACAAAGAATGCAGAAATATGTGGAATTTTCTCTTTACAATGAGCCAAAGAAAGGTTTATTTATATGATTCTTACACTTAATTTAGTCTAAGAAATTATTTTTTTTTAAGTGAGAGAATTGGAATGGTCCTTATTAAATGATCTACCAGTGCTCCTTTTATATGTTAGGGCACAGAAAAATCATGTGGGTAGTAGGTTTAAAAATGAAGATTTTTAGGGGCGCCTGGGTGGCTCAGTTGGTTAAGCATCCAACTCTTGATTTTGGCTCAGGTCATGATCTCATGGTTCATGAGTTTGAGCCCCACGTCCGGCTGTGTGCTGATAGTGCAGAGCCTGCTTGGGATTCTTTCTCTCCCTCTCTCTCTGCTCCTTCCCTGCTCGTTCGTTCTTGCTCTCTCAAAATAAATAAATAACCTTTTTTTTTTTAAAAAAAAAATTAAGATTTTTGGGCCTAACCCCAGAGATTCTCATTTGGCTATCTAGGTCAGAACCCAGAAATCTGCATTTTTAAAAATGTTTATTCATTTTTGAGAGGAGACAGAGAAGGAGAGAGTATGAGCAGGGGAGGGGCAGTGAGGGGGGACAGAGGATCTGAAGCAGGCTCTGCACTGACAGCAGTGAGCCTGATGTGAGGATCAAACTCAGGAACCATTGTGAGATCATGACCTGAGCTGAAGTTGGACGCTCAACTGACTGAGCCACCTAGGCACCCTGCCATCTGTGTTTTCAATAAGCATTTCCCTCATCTTCTTCCCATTTTGAGGTTCTTGGCCCACTTTTTGAGAAGGACTGATAGTTCTTCCAGTCTGGGAAAATAAATCTACCAGCCTTCATTGAATTAAAATAATTATAGGCAGTAAATGCCTTTTTACACTCAAATCTAAATCAACATTATCAACTCTCTGACCCTGCCCTTTGAGATGTGTGATTCTTAAAGGCACAGAGCTCATTTGGTTTCCATGGAAAATCAAAAATCAAAATCAAAAAATTTCCATGGAAACTTTTTTCCCCAGTTGAGCCTTTAAGGATGCTTTAGGTGTCCTTATAAGTGGTTAAGACACCTTACTCTCCTGCAAAAGAAAAGTATGTCAGGCTTAACGAAACAAATTGCCAAGTATAACACATGTAACACTTTATTTTGCACTAATAATACTACAAGAGAATAAAAATTGAGGCCTATTCCACAAAAGTGCAGATAATGGAAAGGTCTGCATGCAAAAATATTACTGTAATGATGACAAACAATTATGTTACTTAAAAATAAAAGCACTAGGGGTACCTAGGTGGCTCAGTTGATTAAACCTCCAAATTGATTTCAACTCAGGCCATGATCTCACAGTTGGTGAGATCAAGCCCCATGCTATCAGCATGGATACTGCTTGGCATTCTTCCTCTCTCTCTCTCTCTGCCCCTCCCAGCTCACGCGCGCGTGTACATACACACACACACACACACACACACACACACACACACACACACACACACTCTCTCTCGAAAACAAACATTAAAAAAAAACCACTTACAGTTTTTCCAGTTTCTTTAATGACCTGAGGTTCTCTATACATGAAATACAATTGTTTTGTAGGTACAGGTGGGTCAGATTTGTAGCATAATTCAAGTTAGTGATTTCACTAATATGGTTATCATACAAGTATAAAACACTAAGACTTTTGCAAGGAGAGAGGTCTCCCTAAAAGGAAAACAAAAACAGGTTATACTTAATTTCTCCTGAAAACTTAGAAGTTTGTTTTTAAGAAAGTTTTCCACTTTTTGTACATTTCCTTAAGTTTAATATAATAGTGTATCTCTGTTCTTATTAGCACAGTAAAAACAATACTAGAATGATTATAAAATTAGTTCTAGGTTTTAGTATTCTGTAACTATATCAGTAAAATTGTATTTGTTAAGAAGGATTTTCCTAGGGCAAGCAGTGTTTCTTGGAAGCAATCAGGTTTCTCTGGAAGTTGAAACATTTAACAAATTAATGCTTCAACATTGTAGAATAGGGATTAATCATTCTGTGGAATTAGAAGGAAGCTGTTATTTATAATACTGAAAATGGGAAGTCATTGGATATTCAAAAATAATAGATGAATAAATTATGATAGTACTATTGAAGAGAATACTGTTTAACCATTAAATATTGTTTAGTTTCCTTAGTAATATTTTATAGATCTCAAAATGAAAACAGTACATTCAATATGACCCACTATTGTAAAATTATATGAATACATGCCTAGAAAGAAGACTGGAAGGACATCACCTACATGTTAATAGTGGTTTTCTCTGCATGATAGGATTATAAGTTTCTTTCTTTTTATATGTATTTATATTAATGAACATCAGTTACTTTTGAGATAAGAAAATAATTAAAGGTATTTTTAAAAGTCTGCCATTCTTATGTGGGTGGTAGAGTCAGCCTAGAGTAAGTAGGCAAGAGCTAGAGTGAAGTTACACTCAAAAATACCTCAGCTTGGGATGCCTGGCTGGCACAGTCAGTGGAACATGCAACTCTTGATCTTGGGGATGTAAATTCAAGCCCCATGTTGGATACAGAGATTATTTAAGAAAAAAGAAACCTGAAAAAATCTCAGCTTTTATTAACAAGTTCTTTTAAAATATAACGCCATCTTGGGGACTTATAAACTTAAGTTTATAAGTTATTCTTGTCTTGGTGTGAATTATATATAATTGACCCTTATACAACATGGATTTGAACTGCATGGGTCCACTTATACATGGATTTTTTTTCTGATAAATACTATATAGTACTGTAATATATTTTCTTGTTTTCTTAATAATGTTCTCTTTTCTCTAGCTTTATTTTAAGAATACAGTATATAATACACGTAATGTACAAAATATGTTAATTGACTTTTGTTATCAGTAAGATTTCTGGTCAACAGTAGGCCATTAGTAGTTAAGTTTTTTGGGAATTAAAACTTATATGAGGGTTTTTGATTGTGTTGGGTGACAGGGTGTTGAGGAGTGTGGGGGTGTTGGTATCTCTAACCCCCATATTTTTCTAGGGTCAGCTGTACCTAGTTTGCTTTCCTCTTAACAAGGGTCATCTACACCAAAGGAGCACTGATTGTGACAGGACAAAAGAACAGCAGAGGCTGTCTGCAGAGGGCAAGTGTGTAATGGTATAATGATGTAGAGAGTTTTCTGGGCAATTGGATTCATGGGGAGAAGAATTACTAAGAAACTGGAAAGAAATACAGAATAGGAACTTGGTAGAGTCTGCAAAAAAAAAAAAAGTCTTAATTGACACTTGTGCCTGGGGCTTTGTTATTTTTTTCATTCACTTGAAAAACATTTATTAAGCACTTAATATGGGTTAGGCGCTGTGTTGGATGGGGGATTTAGAGTGATATGAACAAAATAGACATCATCTTGGCCTTTATGTACCTTATGTTTCTGAGAAAATTTCTCTCATGTGTAGTCTTTAGCATTTTATTGTAGACAATAGACATCAATACAAATGGCCTAAAAGGGTTATTGCTCCCTTTAAAGTTACCCACATTAAGGCCAACTTAACACAGAGAAAATACAGTGTCAGAATATATCCAAGTAAACAGTCTTGTCTGATATAAATGGCAGTATAACCTACATTTATATAATCAGTTAAATTATGTGTGAAAAAGATTTCACTGTTAAAGTTTTAAAATATGGTATTCATATAGTTCATTCTTACTACTTGATATGTTAAAAAACTCATATTCCAAGCATCTGGAATTATACAAAAGCATTATCTTTGAAATTGTTTTCCAACATAACACTTTCAATTCTAGTTTGCTACATAGAGTATTTCAGGGATAGATACATATATTTAGCACATAGATTTAACAATCACAATGATATATTTTGTAGAGATTTAGTTTTAATAATTTTAATATCATAAGCATGAAATTAAAATAAAAATACAATATACAGCTGACTAATCAAAATACAGTTAACAAGTATGATCAAAATATAGTTAATAAGGAGGTATTTTCTGACACCAATTTCTAAACTTTACATTGTTAATTATGTAAAAATAGGAAATTTAGAATTCTTACAATTGTATCTATATTTTTGTCTGAAAAATTTAGATGAGTTATTTTCTTCAGGTATCGTGAAGTGGTTTCTTCTTTTCGGGGTTTAAGATTGTTACTTTTGGCAATTAGATCCAAGGTTAGTCGAACCATGATTTCTCTATAAGTCAAACTCTCAGCAGTAGCTCAGTTCTGATACCATGTCAGGAAGCAGGTTTAACTATTGTTTTATGCTCAACTTTCTATATTAAAAAAAAAAAAAAAGGAGCATTATGTACATGGCAATTTAGGAAAAATTATTTTGACTTGCTCTTTAATTTTCTTATGTAGAACTATTTGATAAACTACTTCAGAGGCATTTTAAAAGGCATTTTCTAAGTTTATAGACTTAATTCTTCTTATAAACAGCTTAAAAAACCAAAATTAATTAAATATACAATGTGCATTCATTTCTATTTTTAATCTTTTCCTCTCCCTAGTATTGAGTTGTTACTGTGGGCATCTTTTAAAGGATTTTTTTTCCTCTCAAGGAGTATCATCTGATGTGTTCACATGAAGGCCCAGAGGTTGGTCTCTACTCAAGCTAGTGGCAGTTGAGAATGAGACCAGAATGGTCTTCTGGCTCCTTTTTCCATAGAACCCATGGTGATCATATTTTCTAAACCCTCAAATCAGAACACATGATGTAAAAAACCTTGAGTATGCACATAGGACAGTGGGGCAAAATACTTGAAAATGGAGTTGGCCTTGAAATTGTTATAGCTGCAATCCACAAAGAGGCAACACAATGCAGTGTTTTTCAATCCAGACTGCCTGGGTTCACATTTGGTCCCATTGCTTACTGGTCAGGCAATCTTGGGCATGTTGCATCAGTTTCTTTCCCCCCCCCCACCCCCATGTCCCCCATTCACAATACAGACCAGGAAAAGGGCCTGGGCTGAGATGTTTATGGATGGGTTTACTCTGCCTCCTCTTTCTATACAGTGTAAGAACACAGCCTCATACGCACCAGGAGGCTACGTTACCTCTGTTTCTTATAAAATTAGGATAATAGTAGTACCTACTTCCTAGGGATATTGTGAAGATTAATTGAGATAAAAATGTATAGAATATTCTGCACAGTGCCTGGTACATAGGTCAACAAATGTTTGCTATCACCATTATTGTTTCACTGTTTTGTTCACAGATAAGGTGAACACTATCTACTTCACTGTTTCACCTGGAGTATATTAGGGCTGTTAAATAAGGGGAACACACTATCAAATAATTAATTAATTAATTATTGATTTATGTGAGAGATCCATATGTGGTCCATAAGTTTGAAGTAACCCATTTTTTTCCAACCATCACAAAACTGTGGTATTTATCACAGTTTTGTGATAAATAAACAAAAATTTATTGTCTTTTTAAAATGTAGTTTAAAACTGAGCATTCTTTTTCTAATATATCTGGAATTTTACCAGCCAAACACCTCAGTTTGTGTAGTATTCTGGACATGAAATCAATGCTTAGGAGGAAAGTGAATTCAGTAGAAGATAAATTCAGTTTGCATTATCACACATTGACATATAACTACCCAGGCTATATTATATAAAATGCCCACAATAAAATATTTGAAGATATGGAATGAACCATTTTATTTCAAAATACAAAATGTAATCTGTAGAATAAAATTTTCATAGATTTTTCATAGATTTTCATAGATTTTTAAAATTTTCATGAATTCATTATTTTTAACAAAAATTTAAGATTATTGTTTACAGATCAAATTTCAAACATGACAATAATATTCTGAACAAAGTTTCTAGTTAAGTAAAAATAACTTTTACTAATATTGCCTTAAAAATATTTCATGATGAAAGTTTAAAGAATAACACCCACACTCATGGACCTACAGGTAATCTTAAATATAAAAGGTTATAAATACACTTGTATTCCCTTTATGCCTTTCTCCCTATTCTTTTTTTTAAGTTTATTTATTTTGAAAGAGTGAGAGCAGGGGGAGGGGCAGAGAGAGAGGAAGAGAGAGAATCCCAAGCATGTGAGGCTCAGAGTCATGAACCTCGAGATCCTGACCTGAGCTGAAATCAAGAGTCAGTTGCTTAACCACCCAGGTACACCACCCCCCTCCTTCTCCCTATTCTCTTATTTTTAGAGTTTAGAATTAGATGTCTCTATTCATGTCTTTATACTTTTACTACAGATGTATGTATATCTAAACAATATATAGTACTTTTTAAAACATTTTTACAGTCATAAATGGTATTATTATTTTTTAATGTTTATTTTGGAGAGAGACACACACACACAGAGCATGAGCAGGGGAGGGCAGAGACACACACACACACACACACACACACACACACACACACACACACACACAGAGAATCTGAAGTAGGCTCTAAGCTCTGAGCTGTCAGCACAGAGCCTGATGCAGGACTCAAATCCATGAACCATGAAATCATGACCTGAGCCAAAGTTGGACCCTTAACCAACTGAACCATCCAGGTGCCCCATAAATTGTATTATTTTGATTCCAACTTTCTTTTTTTGCTTAATGTTTTGTTTGTTAGAATCATCAAAGTTGATGTATATAGCTCTGGAATATTTGCATTGCTGTGAATATTCTATTGTAAGGAATTTATTTCTTCTGATGATAGATCTTTGGGTGGTGTTTTTTTCTTCATTTGCAATGTTGCTTCTATGGTTCTTCTATACCTGTCATTTTTAGCACATATGCAAGAGTTTCTTTAGGGTTTAAAACTAGGAATGGCTATTTCTGGGTTGCACATTTTCAACTTTACTATGTATTGTCAAATTGTTCTCCAAAGGAGTTTTACCACTGGCAGCTAAGAGAGTTCCTATTGCTCTACTATGCAGTCAACATCAGTGTCAGCACTTGATATTGGCAGTCTAAATTACTGCCAATCTGATGGGTGTGAAATGATAATATCATTGCTTTTGGTTTTTTCTCAGATCTTTTTATATATAAAAAAGGGATTTGAAAACAGCCAGATCAATAGTCTCATCTCATTATGTTTTAATTTGCCATTCTGTAATTGCTAGAGATTGAGGGTCTTTTCCTGTTTATTGCCATATGGAGTTCCTTTTCTGTTAGTTGTGGTTTCTTATATTTTGCCCATGTTGCCTTATGAGTAGTGTTTTTATAAGTAATTTTTATTTTTATTAAAAGAATTTTTTTTTTAATTTGAGAGAGAGACAGAGAAAGTGCATGTGCACGTGAGAGTGGAGGAGGGGCAGAGAGAGAGGGAGAGAGACTCCCAAGCAGGCTACTCACTGTCAGTGCAGAGCCTGATGGGGTGCTCAGTCTCATGAACCATGAGATCATGACCTGATCTAAAATCAAGAGTTGATGCTTAACTGAGTCACCCAGGCACCCCTATAAGTAATTTTTAGATACACTTATATTTTTTTTTTTTTATTTTTTTTTGGGACAGAGAGAGACAGAGCATGAACGGGGGAGGGGCAGAGAGAGAGGGAGACACAGAATGGGAAACAGGCTCCAGGCTCTGAGCCATCAGCCCAGAGCCCGACGCGGGGCTCGAACTCACGGACCGTGAGATCGTGACCTGGCTGAAGTCGGACGCTTAACCGACTGCGCCACCCAGGCGCCCCTAGATACACTTATATTTTTATCAGATACCAGTATTTTGTTGATTATACATGTAGCAAATATCCATTCCCTGACTTTAGTTTGTTTTTTCTCCTTTTTTTCTCCTAGTTTGTGTTTAGTGGCATCTTCTAAAAAACAGAAGCTATATATTTTTTTCATGTAGTCAAATGTATCATTTTTTTGCCCATGTTTTATGCTTTTTGTAGCTTATTTAGTAACCCCTTCCCTATCCACATTTAAGAGAAAGACTTTTTTTTTCTTGTAAACATGTTTAGTTTTGCTTTGCTTTGTAAATTTTGTCTGCATTACTGTGATCAGAAGCAGCAATCAGTGCTCAGAGGACAGATCCTTGATATTTGGTGGCTAGTATGTTTTTTGCCCATTTTGGCTTCTACAAGCTATATGTAAGGTAGTCTAGAAACCCTGCTACTGGGTTGTGTGTAGGGGATGGATAGTTGCTGTAGAACTGAAATTGACCAAAATTTATTTCAGTTTATTGTCTAAGCCTTCTCCTGGAAGTTGTTAGTCTTCAGTAGACTCCAGGTTCCAAAATACTTATATCAGACAGATTCTGCCAGTGCAGTTGTTGTCTAGGTGGGGAAACAGTTGCTTCCTACTCTGCCATGTTCCCAGAATCCTTTCCTCCTTAACTCTTTCATACACATTTTAAAAATCAACTTGTTGGGGTGCCTGGGTGGCTCAGTCAGTTAAGCGTCTGACTCTTGGTTTTGGCTCAGGTCATGATCTCATGGGTTCATGGGATCGAGCCACACATCAGGCTCTGTGCTGACAGCATGGGGCCTGCTTAGGATTCTCTCTCTCCCCCTCCCATTCTGCCCCTCCCCTGCTGGTGCCAGCATGCATGTGTGCTCTCTCTGTCTCAAAACAAACAAACAAACAAACAAACAAACAAACTTAAAAGAAAATCAACTTGTTATGTTCCATGAAAAATCCTGTCAGGATTTTGTTAGGAATTGCACTGAATTTATAAACCATTTGTGAAGCACCAATACATCTCTAATATTGAGACTTCTTTTCCATCACTATGGTATGCCTCTCTATTTTAGGAGTGCTGCTTTAATGTAGTTTTATAATTTTCTTGTAATTAAGGCCATGCATAAGTTTTTTAAAGTCATTTTTAGGAATTATATATTTTTGTTGATACTGCAAGTGACATTCTTTTAGGAATTACATTCTCTAGAGCTTGTGTATAGAAATGCAATATTTTAAAAAATATTTGAAATATTTAAAATATGATTTCTTTACCCATATTTTAAAATTTTAGACTTTTTTCTGGAAATTTCAAATATCACTTTTACACTGATAACTGGTGAAAATGCACATCTTAAAGTGGCTATACACCCCAGGATTTCTCTCATAGCTGAGGCAGGAACTGCCATACAGGTGGCCATACAGGAGCAATCCTGTACTATGATGGGGGTGATGCCCTGTGGGGGTAATTTTTACACATGGGAGACAGTAGCCTCAATTATTTATTTTCCCTTCTTTCTTTCCCCCA